AGTAGACTTACTTAGACTATCTACACCCCGGTCACTCTACTTCCGGGAAAGTGGTCATATCAGTGGTCAGGTGACCTTTACACCTGCAATCGAGTAAAGAGAATGATTAATAGTACTCGGTTATTAATTAATCCACTCGGGACTGTGGGTATTCTCAAATTAGCAACACAGCCAATATCTTTGACGTGGACGCTTGCGATTAGTGGGGCAAAACGGGTAAGTGTCAAAATAATATTGTCTGAGCACGACTGTAAAGCTGACCCAACATGACCATTTCCTTGCTGCACGAAAGTTACTATAAAGCGGCAATGGCACAGCTGTGACCTTAGACTACGGAAGAACAGCAGTTTTTTTAGTTCCATGAGAACAGCCAGGATTTGCAACACGGCGTTTCCTTTGGTCGGATGCGTGCCCGTTTCTTTGGGGGTTTATAGAAGTAAAGGTTTAGTAGAAGCCTACTCATAAATTAAAATACCCAGAATTAATTCATTTTGCAATAAACTGTACTCTGAGGCAATATTGACCTAAAAAAAGTCCAGGGTCACCACAGGTTCCTATGGCAGAGATATTATGCAATATCTTAAAATCTAGTCTGGTGACATAGGCTGAACAAATCATATATTGTTATTGATGGAGTACTTTTTGTTGTTCTGAATCATTTAAAAAATCTGGGTTTTAAAAAGTTCAAAAAATGTGTGATTTGGTCTAATTAAATATTATGGTGTGAGTTGGTCTTCTATATTTTGAGGTCACAGAGTCTTGCTTCGCATGGACAACACAGCGGTGGTCTCCTATATCAACAAGGAGGGGGGACCAGATCCCCATCGCTGTCAGTCCTAGCGGAGCAATTCTCCTTTGGTGCCCGGAATACAATGTGGAGCTCACCGCACACCACCTTCCAGGGGTGAGGAAGTGGACGCCTTCTCTTTCCGGCGGCTCCGTCTCCGAACACGGAATGGCAGTTAAGCAAATTAATTACCTGGGTATAACTATAAGTGCTAATGGCAAACATAAAGAGGGTATCAATAATTTAAAAAATAAAGGGATGAAAGCTCTCTTTGCTTTGAAATGCAAACTCGGTTATGACAACTCACTAAACATACCCCTCTAACTATCTTTATTTGACAAACTGATAAGACCAATTATTGTATATGGTAGTGATGTTTGGGGTGATGAAAGCACAACTAAGTCTGCAATTGAGGATGTCCATCTTTCATTTTGTCGGTTCATTCTTGGTCTCTCAAAATTCACACCAAAAATGGCTGTTTATGGTGAGCTAGGAAGGTACCCCATTGACTGTTTTATCAAGAAACAACAACTTAAATATTTCAACCGGGTAACAAACTCTGATAACACATTACTAAGAGAAGCCTACTTAGTAAACAAGAATGTAAAAAGTAAATGGTTTACAAGTGTAGAAACCCTCATGCAAGATTTAGATGTTGTCACCAATGTAAACTCAAGTGAAAAAATAATTAAGAAAAATTTAGACTTTATTCATAAAAAAATAAACAAATCATTTGAGAACCAATGGATCTTAGACATGCATAATGATAATAGAAAACTAACCTTGGCTAAAAACAAACTAAGAACATACAAACTTTTCAAACAAGATTTAAAAATTGAAAATTACCTAATTAATATGCAGAACCATGGTCTTAGAAGGTTAATTGCAAAATTCAGGACAAGCAACCATGACCTTAAAATTGAGAAAGGCAGACATAATAATGTGCGGCTGGATAAAAGAACATGTGATATGTGCAGCCAAAATATAGTTGAGGATGAGCAACATTTTGTAATGAAATGTCCAGCTTACAGTCACCATAGGGATAAATTATTCCTGACTGCACAAAATAAAATTCCAAATTTTGATAAAGAAAATAGTCAGAATAAATTCATTTTGATTATGGCAAACCATACTCTAGCACCAGCCTTAGCTGTCTTCTTAAAAAACAGCTATGGAACAAAACAGCAACAACTATCAGTGTATTAGGCCACATTTTGTGTTCATTCTATATTCTGTATTCACCATTGGCTGCAAATTGTATTTTTTTGTTTTTGACTTGTTTTTTTGTTTTGTTTTTAGAAAAGTTTTTCTTTTTTGTTTTCTTTTTTAGATTGTAGTTTTTTTTTGTTTTTTTTTTAATTTCTTTCTGTAAGACCCTTTTTATCCTTTCCTAAGGATTTTATGCGTCTAATAAAAATATGTATGTAATATGTTACCCCAAGGGGTAGCCTCCAGACTGTTTTGGTGGTGGGATGGTCCAAAGTTAGACCTATTCACCACACCCTGGAATGCCAAGCTCCCGACGTACATGACATTCCTGCCGACTCAAGGAGCCTGGGCCAGGGACGCTTTGTTGTTCCCTGACTTGTCGATTCGAGTCTCTTCGATCAGCACCAGTCGAATATTTGACTTGCCCTTGCCTCAGGTGGGTGTCGGTCTGAACTAGGGGCAATGTCCTTCTCCAACGGGTGTGCCGCCTTTATGGACAATCAAGTCATGCTAAAGATCGGGTTCCTTGCCAAGAATCAAATCCCAGGACACGATCCAAAACCGATTGTCATCCCTCGGCTAGCAACATTGTTGGCCCTTGGAATTGGGAGGAGTTGCTTCTCTGCCCGGTTTGAGTGCTGAGTTGCTATGAGAGCCGTACTAGGGAGTTGAGACATGGCAACAAGCACATGTTTATGTGTTATGGCCAGGGTAAGTAGGACAGACCAGCCTCCTCAACTTCCATTGCCAGGTGGATCACTGCGACGGTGTTTGAGCTGTTTGGCTTCCTCGACACATGGTCTACAGAGACACCAAGTACGAGCACACGAGATATATGCGATTGCTAACTCATTGCCTCTTGCATCAGGTGCCCCCCTCAAGCAGGCTTCTGGAGAACGCAAAATGTCTTTACCACTACTACCTAAGAGATACCCAATCCATTGAGGAGGGTCTTTTTTAGGGTGGGTCCCATTGTTGCGGAACAGTCTCGGCACCATGATTTCTCCTGTCAGCGCTCCTTGGAACTTTCTAGGTCTCGTTTTTGGCCTATGCCCTTATGCAGTTTCGGTCTTTCTTTTGAAAGCTTGTCACCCCAGAATTTGGGTTTGGGTCTAGCGTTCTTGGGCATACCAAACCCTGTCACCATTTTAGCATTTTGCTTTTGTTCCGGGGACGGCACTGGCAAGGTAAGACACCGTTTCTTCACTGGTCTCAACTAGGTGGTAGTCGTAAGTAGAGGGTAGTATCCTGGACTGGGACACCCTTTTATCATTTTTCGGTTTGCTCGGAAACCCTATTTGCGTCTGACCCTACAGTTCAAAATACTCATTTTGACTGACCGGAGTCTATGGTAGGTAATTGAACGTAGTGAATTTAGGCAGATTAGGCAGACTATTCACATAGTTCATACCCACCATAGACTCCAGGTCCCTCCCGACCACCCCACATTTTCATAGCGTTGGCTTAGTCCTCAGTGCTGAGAAAAATAACCAAAAGTGAGAGGAAGTGTGGCGTCGCCCTCATTGCCTTGGTCACATGGTTCGTGACATGAAGGAAAATCTATGAGGTCATGGGGCTTCCCCTGACCTAGATTTCCTTCTCCGTCAATGGCAGAATCTCTGATTAATGCCTACAGTTCAAAATAGTCATTTTGACCGACCGGAGTCTATGGTGGGTATGAACTATGTGAATAGGCAGGTTGAAAACCCTCTGCCTAATTTTAATTATTGTTTGTAATTTCACGTAAGTTATTGCTTGACAAAGAGGTACGCGACCTAGCTAATATCTATTTGGCAGAGTAAAGAAATACGATGATAGATTGATAGCTCAACAGGAAACAGAAAAATGGTGTCGGAAATTATGAACAACTCGCATGTTAACCAGGCAATTTGTATGATAATAAGCTATTACAGAAGACAGAAGAACACACAGTTATGGCAGTGTCCCTTTACATTTTTCATGGAAGTGTAAATGTAGATAAAATTTTTTCCATTTTTCTTGCTATTATAGAATGTACATATGAGGCTCTTAACAGATATAGCCCAAGCCAGAAATATGTCAACTCACCAAATATCAAAATATATTGAGCTGGTGAGACCTCCATCATCATCTGAGTCAGGCATTCAAGGTAAGTGTGGCATGATTTATTAGTATTTGGGTACCATCCATTTAAAATGTTTATTTTTGGCACAAAAATGGCAACCAGTTGATAAAAGATCTACAAAATGAAAACAAATTTACATGCTTATAAAAACCATCTTTGTAGCAATTTCAAACAAAAATTAGGCAATAATGTCAAACAGACAGTCATTTCTCAGGCAAACTACATTCAAATACTGATGCATGTCCTTTTGTTTCTTGGTTTGATTAAAAATGGCCACTTGGCAGCCACTTTTTTTTTTGTAAAATTTTCTAGCCTTTGAACACTTCTTTTTGTAGATTTTGTTTAAATTTGTTAAAAAGGGAAAACAATGAATTGCATAATTTAGTTATTCTAGAAATTTTTATTTTAGTTTTTAAAAAAACTAAAATCACAATATGTTTCTGAGCATCTGATTGGGTACTAATGTGCATTATCATGTTTCTATTTTCTGATCAATTTTCTTCAGAGGTACAAAGACGAGAGATAATGGTATTCATATGTATGTTGATTTGTTTTTCATTTTGATACTCTGACTGACTGACTGGTTGCCATGGTCCCCACCAAAAAAAAAAAAAAATACACCGAAAAGCAGCATTTCAACATTGGTTACACATGATGGGCTACTGATGTAGTTTATTTTGTGATTTCATTCAAAATGAATGACAGGCCATGTTTGGTTTATTTTCATGTGTCCTTAACCATTTCCTGAGATGCTGGACTTTGACTGATTTTGGGGTTGAAATTAAAAAACAATTATTTGGTTGCCAAGTGGGACAATTTCTTTGAAAAACTGAAAATAAAGTTGTTTTAAAGTGTTTTCAAACCCCTGAAAAAACAAAGTAAATTTTCACAAAATTTATCTGAACAATTTGCTCTTGTAATTTGTTCAAAGCGAGTATATTATGTACTATAATATACAGGCAGGCAGGCAGGCAGACAGACAGGCAGACAGACAGACCGACCGATGGATGCTTGATCATATTTCTTTCAATCTTTACTTTTTCAGATGCAGAAGAGAAATTGAAAGGACCACTTGTAATGATGTTACCATGGTTAGGGTCAACACCTAAATCAGTGCGATATTACCAAGACATTTACCTTAAAAGAAACTGGGAAATCTTGATGGTTCATTCGCAAGTAGGTCACTTCCTATGGCCTCCAAGGGCTACTGCGCTCACTCGGCAATTATTGGACTACCTGAAAAATGAACAATCAAACCGACCAATTGTAATCCATGCTTTCTCCATTGGGTGTTACATTTATGCTATGTCATTGCTACATCTAGCAAAGTCATCGAAGTATGATGGTGTGAAATCGCAGATTATTGGACAGATTTTCGACAGTATGGTGATCGGTGGGCTACACAAAATGGCTACCGGGGTTGCAAAAACCACACACGATAACGCCTTTGTGCAAAAATTAATTCTGAAGTCATCACTGGCTTACTTCTGGCTCACAAAATGCGTGACCGTGAAAAATTACGATCAATCACTAGACACGATTAAGCACACTCCAGTCATTGCTCCGATACTTTGTTTTTACTGCATGAATGACATCATGAGTGATCCAGAGTGCGTTGAAGACTTGGTGAGATTTTGGGAAGAGGATCTTGGGATTCAGATGTCTACAAAATGGTGGCCTGCTTCAGTCCACGCCCAACATCTAAGACATCACCCTCGAGATTACATGTCAGCCCTGGACAGGTTTCTTAGTCAGTTAGATTTCAAGTTCAATGACAATGTCAAAGCCAGACTGTAGATAGATTGGAAAAAAAATCATCTGTGACTTCTGAAGTGTCTACACTCGGGATAAACTGCATCATGAGGAAAAATAACTTCTTAGCTTTGACCGACTTTAACAACTGTTTCTCTGAGATGGCTTGCATGATTTCATTCGAACTCAATGATTCCACATAATGGATTTTGGTTGCACATTCAATTTTTCAGATTCAACCAAATATGCTCAGCCCATGTCAGTACATTGCCAGCACAACTAATAGCATCACAGCACTGTTTAGCAAAATCGTATATACCAACACTACTGGATTGCTGCTAGTGATTGCATTTGGCATTAAATACAGAAGGGGAATTGTGCATTGTCAATGCTTGTCTAGATTACAACAACGTAATATGACAGAACGTCTTGGCCTCAAGTGATGTGGTGTATCCTGCTGCTGTAGAGCGAGGCGAGATAATATGTCGCATGAATACATTGCATCACGAGTCTCGGCGAGGTCATGGTGTTCTGTTATTATAACATATATTCCCGGACTTTTTGAAAATGGCAAGGAAAGTTTTAATCACTACACCTACAATCTGCATATAAGCGTGCACAAGGGTTGTTTACATTAAATTCTGTCCATTGATTGGTTAACCTGATGTTGTGTTTTATTCATATGCAAATATTTTCAGCTGATTAGTGACAAAAATGCTGACCGATAAATGCAACAAATAGAACAAAGAGCTTTTAGGAGTTTTTAAAAATAAAAATAGACATCAAGGAAAAAAAATGTGTTTCAAATACATTGAGATCCAGCATCAGCAGGTTCAGCTCATTTGATTTGCATTAAATAACATACTAATTTGCATATCACCAGTGACAAAAATGTTAACTGATAAAGACAGCAAATAGAACAAAGTTTTTATAAATGAAAATAGATCCTATTTTAAACATATTACATCAACATCAAGGAAAAAATGGTGCATTTCAAATAAATTGAGACCCAGCATCTGTAGGTTCGGCTCATGTGTTTTGTATTAAATAACTTACTAATTTACATATAACCAGCGAAAATACTGGTTGGTCTGTGCATCACAATTATCACAAACTTGCATATTCATTGTTGTTAAGCCAATTTGTTGTAGTTTTCTATGTACTTTTAATAAACATTTGAAGATATCTCGTAGAATTCCACACAAACAAAACAAAACATGAACATTTGAAGATATCTCGTAGAATTCCACAAACGAAACAAAAACAATATATTGTGTGTGCTCATTTGCATATCAACAGTGGAAATACCAATCTATTTTTAAGCGCACAACAAAGTACACTGAAGTACATATGTAATGAACTGTACTTCATATGTTATAATATACTATATTTTCTCTATTGGAAGGACATTTTTAATAGAAGTGCACAGAAAACAAGCATTTGTTGTATGATGTATGACTTGATGTGAGAAAAACTTTTGTGCTGTAATATTTAATGGAAGGATTTCAGATCAACTGATCTTGTTTGGTATTGTTCTACTGTATGTTTGGAAATCACTCAGAACACTGTAAAACTTTATTTTTACTACTGTAAAGGGGGTAATTATTCACTGGGTTTTAATTTAGCTTATTTCGCTGACTGGAAAAATGCGCTAAATTAAAACACAGTGAATATGTAAAATTTAGCATAGAACACATTATCTAAATGACGAAACCGTGAATTTAAAACCCACTGAATATGCCCGAAATGGTAAATCAGTGAAATTTAAACCCAGTGAAAATTAGTCATTGTACAGTATTTTGAGCATGTTCAATGGGTTTTAAGTTCATGAATTCGAGTAAAGCTGTTATGTTTGGATTTTACTTGTCAGCAAAGATAGAGAAATGAAACTAAGGGAACTGATCATTACCACCCAGCCGGTTTCCTGTGAGTTTGACTCGGTTTACCGTACCGGTCGTTGCTTTACCGTACCGGTCGTTGCTTTACCGTACCGGTCGTTGCTTTACCGTACCGACCGTTGCTTTACCGTACCGACCGTTGCGTTACCGTACCGGCCGGACAATTACCGTACTGATAGGACCAATACCGACTATTTATCACCTTCGATTAATGAATGCATGG